ACTACTCATTTTATCGAAATTCCATGGTCAATCCTTACAACGGAGCTGACTTCTTAACACGATTCGCAAAAATTAACGCATTGAAGAATGTCATATTATTAGGAGCATTAAATTGCCTCTCTGGCAAAATAATAATAATCGAAGCATGTGTTAATCACGAACATATAATATAACTGTGGTGCATACTAACTAGACAAGGATGTAAACGTGGTAGCGCATGCCGGTTCATTGCTGATTAAGTTTCCTCGATTAAGCTCGCAATATGAGATCGGATATATTCGTCCTGGGAACTCATCGCATCGTTTCCTTTGGCATATTTAGATCATTCCTACTTTGTGTGCCAGTTGCATCAATGGTGTTTATATAGATACCTACCTTGTTGCTGCAATAAGCTGTTCTGTCTTAAGATTGATCCTTTGGTTTCGTATGAATTGAAGATGTCAAGCAATGTTCAATATTCAATGTTCAATGCGTTATTTGATAACACCCAAAGCAAATTGTATAACAAAAAGTTTTCGCTTTCTGTGAAATTCTTTAAAGCCTTCCTAGACCACAATTTAGTTACTTTGTTACGTTTTGGTAGACTTTTCTTCATATGAAAAAAGCCAACCCATTATTTGCAAAACCGGCGTGAGTACCTTGTCGCACTTATCTCAACAGTTGTTTTATATCTTTTATGTGACTTTGAATACAAACACATTTCAAAGACATTAACCGAACGATGCCGCAAAATAAAGCATCCCTAAGCGAAAAGTATTGTAGAAATCATATCAATAAAATAAAGACTAGACTTTTCCTCACACTTGTATTGGAATAAGTTGTCTTTGCGTTTGTTACATATTACGACCAGCAAACTAACCTTAATGCATAATTGGAATAAGATGTTGTTACATTGTTAACGTTACATTACTATTCTTAAAAAATGCGTTGGTTTTGTTTTGGGAGTAAAGATCAATTGTGTCGTCCCAAGAGACCATGTTTTAAATTAATTTTATCGAAAACCAAAAATTCATTGTTTTATAAAATAAAAAAAGTGTTTATATTCACCTGCAGAATATGCATATAATAAGTAAATCATAGGAAAACGAAAAATTCTTACTAATACTATGCTATTTTTAATTGCCTCTCTTTCTGGATCCACCGTCCTGTTGTAGAAATATTTACATAACTTGAAAATTTGTTATTCTGTTTGAAACTGTAAGAAATCAAAGAAAAAATCTTAAATGGAAGAATTTAAAATTTCAATAATGAAAAGTTAAAAAAGGTTTTCTTTTTGTTTTTCTTTGCGTAACTCAAAAAGTGATGCAAAAGTTAGATGGTAATAAACCCTTTAAAATAAAGAAAAAATGGAGCACAACACTATAAGCTATTTTTTTAATTAAGCCTTTGAGAAATTGGCAACTTTTTAATACGTCGTCTCCTGGCCATTTGTTGACGTTCCCAATACCCATAGAAACGTTCTTGTTTAAGCCATTCTTGGTATTTATACCACCATTCTTCCCATTTAATTTAATCCTGTTACCAAGACAATATAAGCCGGTATATTATTACATATATTATTGGCGCCTACTTTTAAATTTAAATCGCTTAGAAAGCCACGGAATTTATAATATTCATGACGTACACGCACATCATTCCAAGACAACATGCCCAACATGCTGTTGCTACCAACTCTTCGGGAAAGTGGCCAACCGGTGCCGGTGAATATGAGTAGCGACGCGGCGGAATTTCGAGTCACTCTTCTATCATTACTTTCAAAGCGCCACTAGCAGAGTCTTTTCTTATACGCATATTTTCCATATTGCTGCGATCAATACTCTATTGAGCCATTTTGCCGAAACGTTTGCACAAAGTGAGTCGCGCGTTGGTGGTAAATGTTGGCAGAGGAAGATCGTCACGGTCGGAGCCGCCAGAGTCGTCCGAGCCCGAGGAAGAGTGCCTTTTTCTTTTCTCGCCTTCAATCTTGCAACGGGTGCTTAACTAGTTGTTATTAGGAAAAATAATAACTACAAACAATTTCTACTTTATCCAGAGTTCGTTACCTCCTTCTCCTTTTTTTTTAGGCACATTATTTGAAGTTGATGCTGTAGCCGGTTCCGGGGGTTCAGGAGGACGATTTTTTAAGCGCGGGTCTTCAGGCGTCGAGTAACGATCAGGGCGCGTAACTTTTACATGACTATCATAGAGATGACATCCGTCTAAACTGCGTTCGTGACTAAGGCGGCGTACCTTACCATCGTTGCGATGGTATTTATCGATTAGATCATTGCGAGAAAGCGGTGGCGACGAAGGTCGATTATGCGTAGATACTGAGGGAGGCGGAAGCGGATCTCGCTGGCGTTAAATTGGACGTGAAGTTTTAAAAGGTGGCGAACGCGGCCCGCCATGCGATCGCGGCATTGGGACGGAACTACAAGAAATCAATGGGGTTTTAAATTTTTATGCACACCATAATTTAAGATTCATTATGCCTACTGAGGTCGGTAACGATGCCTTGGTGGGCATTCAGAGCAAGAATCATCTGAACAGCTTGCTATCGAACTGTTTGAACGCGAACGACACACGTTCTAAAAAGAAGCCAACAATTATTTTATTCTTACTTTAAAATACATTACAGGTAGCTTGCTTACCTGCGGCGGTGGTGATGGGGGGCGTTTTGAACGCGGCAATATTTGTGTTCTTTATTTTGGATGTACGTTACTTACCACTGGCGGTGGCGGTATTCTACGACGTCCGTTCGAACTCATGTTAACCGAAGGTGGAGAGCCGCGACGTTTTAGGAGATCACGACTTACGACGCCTTGGTGGCTCAGGTGGTAAACGCGGTCTGCCACCTGCACCTATCGTACGATAACCGCCGAAATCCGTTGAAGAGTGCGGAGGTCCATGTTCCGGCGAACTAGGTCGACCCCTTTCCATCGTGTGGAGAGGTGTTACACGACCGCGTCCCATGTTGTCCAGCATATCACGAGAGGATGGACCTGGAGACCGTCGGCGCATTTGCGGTGATAATGGCGGTGATTTTCGCATACGCGTCCTGGAGAAAGCAAACGACCATACCGAAGACGATGTTTTTGATGGACCGCCGCGTTAGCCACTACCCGAAGATTCACGATCACTTTCACACGAGCTAGTTTCTCCCTGAATGTACATTTTCTTATATACCTCTAATAACTTTTTCTTATATACCATTAATAACTTTTTATCCCAATAGTCATTTTTGTTGGCTACAGCTTTTCTCATAAGATGATCCATTTCTCGTTTTTTACCAGCGGACAGTGAAGGACATGAATGCAAGAATTTTCAATTCCATAAATTAATCAATCTCAATTGCAATGGGTTCAATAAATACTCACTATTGATTCAGGTTACTGTTGATTGACGATCTATATGCAGTTTCGGATTCATATCCCCTCACCACGACGTCGTGATGACTTGACATTTTCTTGTTTCTTGGTAAGATAAACTTAATTTAAATAGTAAGTAGGAAATATTTTCGCCTTTATTTTTCGTTATTACACGTTTAGCTACAAAAACACAGATTTTATAAGCACTACATTCAAATTCGATTAGAAACAAATTGCTATCAGTGTACTTTCAAACGTTGCACGCGCCTGTTTACATAACTATCTTTCTCTAAATTTTTATTGTATTCAGAATTAAACTCACTAATTATATTGAAACTCGCAAATTAAGGAATCTTGTGGGCTTGTTAACAAAATATTATAACCGCATAACCAATGTTGAAGTAAAGAGTGCATATTCAAAATCCGTTATATGCAAAATCCTTACAGCTACGTAAACAATATTACAATCGTATAATCCCAATAAGCAATCAATAAAATTTACACCATGCCCTAGCGAGTCTTCTTTCTTTAACTGTCTCGCCCGAGACCGCACAACAGTATGGAGACCAAGATGATACAAGAAATGTTGACTCAATAAGAATGTTTTCACATAAGTCCCGATTTCACAGATCGTAAATGATCCAACTCTTATGTTAAATATTAAAACCACTTTAATATGAAAAAGTTTGTGAGCACGATATCAAAAGTGTAGCTAACCCCCCCAAGTATGGGTGGTATTCATGGGCGGGCGGTTAGAGCAGACTACGAAGAGAAAGCTGACGAACTAAGTAAAAAATTGGACCGGGTAGTAACTGTTGACATGGCGATATATGAGTTGGCAACACTTAGGCTCAATATGAGAAAGCTAAACAAAGAAACTACCGTACAAGTAGGAACGACTTATAGCGCCTACCTATGCGCTGTGGTAGGCGAATGGATGGGGGCACAAGCATGCCGCGGAGATAATTAACAGCATAATAATCAACAGTCAGCGCTATACGTAAACCGTTAGTTCAATACAACAAATGCTACTGTTTCGCTGCAAAATACAGCAATACCCAGTTTAAATTCATTAACTTCAGTCCACAATATCCCATAAAATCCCCATGGAAGGGGAAATTTTTTACAGAACAGTAACTACAACAATGTAATTTATAATAGAAATTATAGAAATAATTAGAAAACTCTGCCCCAATATTAATGAATATTTTTGATTCTCATATATTTTAGTGCGAATGCAATGTACGGCGATTTAAATCAACACGATAATTCATTTTACCTTTACCTGCCGCGTTACAATTTAAAATTGCAGACATTTTTTTCCACTATTTGAATTTTTATTTTTGTTAATATGTTTCCAGCTGGGTTTTCTGGTCTGGTTTTCTAAATACTATTCACATGTGATATATTTCGTACATATATATACATGTATATACGCATATTATAAATACCATTGAGTATAAAAATGATGCACACAAATATTACTTACTATATATATAGTGAAATTTAATGTAAAATCCTTTTTTTTTTTTTTTTTTGCTTATTTTGAGTCACGGGTTTTCGTCCATTTATGTTAATTTTTTACTAAAAGAGAATTAAAAAAAAAAAAAAAAATACACACCTTAGATTAATATATGAATGGATGCAAATTTATTTTATTAATGAAATTTAAAAAATTATAATTTCGCAACTTTTCTTATGAAATATATATGTTTCGTTTTTATATTTCCTGTTTAGCGGCTTCGACTTCATACTTTATTTTATAAAAGAAGTCAAGTCTTATAATTTACCAGAATTTATAAATTTTTTTTCTTAATTGTTGAAATTTCTTTAGAAAAACTTATGCATATAAACTACATTATAATATGATGTTTTACAAAACACAATTTAAATTTAATTGAAATGGTGTTAAATCTTGTGTAATTGCTAAAGTGGCACCGTCTTTAATCAATTTATAAGCCAATCCAGCTAAATTCTTGGCATCATCTATACCCGAATGCTCGCGACCTTGAAATGAAAGGCCGACATGACGTAGCGCATCAGCGAAATTTAATGGTTGATATTTATACCACTTTTTGTAAATTGCACGCAAATCAATCCATTGATTAAAATATGGTGGCTTCTTTAATCGTTTACGTGAACATTCCTTATGTAGGCATATACCAAAATCCCAGTCAGTCCAGCTAACAAAGGCACAATTGCCTAATTTATTGTCTTTGGTCATCTTCGGCAAAGATAAATGACGAGCTCTTAACTCTTTGCGCAACCACTCTTGAAACATCATTAATGCCGTTTGCAAGGGTATACCGTTGTCAACAGTTTTTTGTGCGATGCCAGTGAGTTTGGTGCAAAACGCGCTTAACTTCGGTGATTCTATTGGCATAATATATTTATGAAATTCAGCTTCAATTTTCCCAGTTTTCAAGTTTACTAAAACGGCTGGAAATTCTATCAAGCAGAATCATTTATTGCCTTTAGAAAATGTTTATTTAACCATATTAAATTTTACTTACCTATAATTTCAGATTCTCGCCATCTCGGAGGAGCTTGATTTTCCCAGCATGTAGCCTCAAAGTCTACACATATTACATAATCGTACGTTTGTTGTGAAAGCTTGGATTTACTGGTTTTCGATGATGAATTATTATTATCAGCTTGGGCTCCATCTACGTAAATAGTTTGGATTAAACCCAATTCCCTGTAATAAAGGATTTGTGGGTTTAGTGAAATTGAAAGCAAAATATTTAACATAACAATTATTTAAAAGTTAAGTTTACTCTATACGTGTTCCTTGTTTCCCTAAATACCACGCGCTTACATTTCTCTTTTATTTATTTGTGTACTAATCATAAATCCGCTTGTCTGCCATAACATACAATCATAGGCTTCTGCTGGAGCAGTAAACCATTCGTTGCTTCTAAAGCTGTCTCAATAGCCTCCTTTAAGTTGGTTGGCTGTTTCTCGATAAATGTTACAAATGCTTGACCTTTCATTCGACCATGTTGCATAACTTTTATGTCTAATTCCATGTCGGAGGTTGTATACCGCTTGTAGATAATGCGCAAATCGCTGGCGGTAACATTTTTATGTAAATTTTTTATATAAAGTTTATTGCTAGGCAAACCTTTGCTATATTTTTCATATATCGGTAAAGATTTCAACTCCTCAGAAGCAAGTTTTTTATTTACTAAGTCTAAAGACGGCAGATCATCTTGAGGATTAGTTGGTTTTAAATTGACTGCAATTTTTTTCGAACAAATACGTAGTTGGTTTGCTTGGAACCCTTCAACGGTATTTGACGAAGAAGCGATTTTGGTTTTCTGTAAGTGTTTATTTTGTTTGCGCACGGTATGCAACACTTTTCGTGCCTTTTTCTTCAACAATTCGTCATTAAAATTTTGTTTGCGTTTACCTAAGGACTCACGGTGTAGTCGTTGGCTTGTTCTTTTATCGCTATTATCATCTGAGCTCTCTAGCTCAGATTCACTATTTTCCGATTTCGTTAAAGTTGCTTTATCAGATAAATGCTTATGCTCTTGTGATTCTTGAAGCGCTTCACCGCCTCTACTTATCCTCTGTGAAACAATTAAATCGGTTTGCGTAGCTTTCTCTTGAGCAAGACGGAAACTTTGCCGATGTGCCACGTTAAACGGTGGCTCTAAATTCATGCGATTCATTAAATGCAAAACTTGTGTATAAAATCGTGTATCATTTATCAAAGCTACAGATATGGCATTTAATATATTAGCATTTATAACGGGATAGTTGTACTTTAAGTAAGGTGGTGGTGGTTGATCGAAACCTAGATTACCTTCCACAGCATAAAGTTTACGTACATACTTGTTTATTTTAACTGGCGTAACAGGAGGTTTCCTGCTCTCTCCGGTCGTATTCAGCTGATCATATTCATAATCTGACGTTTGCACTAATCTGTTGATTTTTAAGATTTTTTTAGTCTTAGGTACTACTTTTTCATTCACATTTATTTTTTCCTTAGTAAAGAGGCTGACATTGCACAATTTCTCGTTAATTTCTAAACTTTTTAACGTATCCAAAGCTTCTTCAGTTTTCTCAGCATCTTCATATGTGATTAGGACACGTTTACGTCCAAAAGGTTTCACTTGCTTCGCGGGTATATTTAAAGATTTTAATAAGTCTTCAACATTTGTAATTTGCTTAGGTATGTTTTTAAATAGTATTGTATTTGTAGGGAAATTTTCCCTCTTCATCGTGAAAATTTGGCAAAAAAATTGTTAAAAATTAAAAAGATAAAATTAAAAATATGTATGTTCGGCTTATAGAAAATGAGTAAATCAGAAACCATCTGTTTCATTTGAAACTTTTTTTTTTTTGCAAAGAAAGAGAGAAAGCTACTACAGGGTTGTATACTATAACAATGATTTTAGAATATTTATTTTGGTGATTTTTTTTTACGTGTTGACGACATTTTTGTTTTATTTGTACTAGGAAGAATAATTGCGAATAAAAGTTAAATTTTCTTACTTATTAAATAATTTGTAAGTAACTTCAATAAATAACATTGAAATTTTAATTCTTACATGATTTTATATTATTACTAACATGGTAACTATTAGAAAAAGATCAATCGTTTGACCTCTTGACCCGTTTTATTAGCAAGAAGATTTCTTCAATTATTTTATACCTTCGTAAAAATATTGTTCATTTGTTTATTATTTATTGATTTTATTTATCTGTCTTAGGTCAACAAATGAAATGATCTAAACATCTTCCACTTTTCTTGTTTCTTTTATATTACATGCAAATTTTACTTTCACTCAAATCGAAAAAACAACAACCTTAAGTGTAAATCATAACAGAGTAATAGCGACGTTGAATTTAGCTGATAGTTTATATACATAAACTAGATTAAGTTGAAAAAACTAAGATAAGTAAGTCGCTTTTAATGGATATCATAAAGTGCACATTCATATGTAAACACATAGAGATGTAATTATTACTTTAATGAAACACGTAAGAATGATAGAAACTATAAAATGTTAATTTTATCAAAATGAATGACAACTCTGTCTTTCCTATAATTGATAATTGAGATGATAGTGAGACCACAAATACAAAAATTATAAGCGCCAAATTGAGTTTGGAAGTCACCGCTTAACATTTTCGTTTTCGAGCTAAAACCTCCTGAATAGTAAACAGAATGGGCAGCCACGCTAACAAAATATAAACAAAAAGATATGGTTTAACAACCGTAACATAAACGACAAATTTGTGAAAAATAGCAAAAGGAAGGTTAATTCAAATGTAAACAAGCTTTTTTATTGATTAGTGACAAAAAAGAGAGAGTAGAGGTATATATCAGATGTCTTTTGCGTATTAATTGATCCATAATTTGGATTTTACCACCTACAATTATCTTGTCAAACAATTTGATGAATATATTTGAGCTTTAAAATAATCATGCGTGGTACAATGCACATTAGTGAAGAATAAACATAAATTAGATATATAATTTTAAACTAAAAAAAAGATCATTTTTGGATGCGGGTTTTCGCTGCATTCATGGACAAGTTGTTAAAATTTTGATAGAAGCCGGCATTAATTACATGAAAGTTACACACGGAGGAAATGGCCAAATTTCATGGCTAAAAATTGTTAAAAATGTAAAGATCCATGAAATGGTTAAAAAAAAATTACGATTAAATCAGCAGGAAATACCAGCCAAAGGATTCAGCAGTTTGAAGGTTAAAAATCACTCTGACGATGAAGACATGTTAGAAATCTAGGCTGTGAAAGGAACAAGTTGCTAAATTAAAAAGCGCGTAACTAGTATAAGATTTAAGAGTCAATGAATTATTGGTAGAACTAATTTACCATTTGTTTTCTATAAAGAAAATAAAATTTTTTATATAAATATGTACAAGTTCGATCCGTTGTTTGCCATTGCATGTCAACTCAGTCCCGAAGCTACATAAATAGAATAAAATAAATAAATTCTTAATATAAAAAAAATTTTAATCGCTTTTTTTACTTGTAACTATTATATAAGTTATCTTGTATACAAATTGGAATGAAAAAATAACATCTTAATATCTTGGCGTCGCTTTGAACATACCTTAACACATCTGTTTTTACGTGATAACGTACGGTGTTACGTATTATCTCACAGAATACTGTTCTAATTGCTACGGACAACTTTTGCTTTGCTGTTGTATTGCTAGATATGTCATAAATACTATCATAGATAAATTAATTAACTTTCACTGAAGCTGATGCAAATTTACACTTGAGAAAAACTGTTTATTCTGGATTTATAAGATCTTGAACATTGTGTCAGGTCCCTGATGAATTTAAATATTAGTATATCAAAGCCAGGCGACTGCGATTTCTTCGGCTACGATAATATATCAGATATATGTCAGAATTGGCAAAGCTCATGGGTGCAATGTAAAGCTTTGTTCTTCTTATAAGTTGTTTTTAAAGAAGCTGTTTTTGTAGAACTTGTTTCAGGTTCACGCACTTCTTCATTGAAGTTAATACAATAGGATTAAAATTATTAATCAAATATATATCCATTTGATATTGTTTGCAATTCAAAGGGAGATATGGGAATTGGAATGAAAAACATATGAAATCAAAGGGAGATATGAAATTTTGATTGCAAAACATACGAAATATATAAATAAATCGTGAGAGCAAATAATTTTAAACATTTTCCATATTATTGTAAAGACACTTGGACATTACTCATCGTTTAGAGGATTTGACGAATCGTTGAGTTTCAGGAGTTCCAGAAATTTTCTCACTGGCAAATATTGAATCACCAGATAAACAGGCGATAGCAATACATGCAGCCGGCTCGAAGAGGCGCTGACTAACATCACTTAAATGCGTTAGAATTGTTCCCAGTAACATAGTCTGGTAATTATGACTGATGGAGAATTTCGCTTTGGGAGCTTGCTCTAAAAAACAGCTCACTACGCGTAAACCAGCATCTACAACAATTTGACTGCTATGCTAACCGCAACATTTCTGAGTGGTTAAGTCTTAAGATGTGTTGGTGTCTAATAAATCGAATTCTCGTAAGATCATAAGTTTACATCTACAGACATGGTTACATAAGCTCCGCTATTTATGCTGTCTGAGATATATGTAAAATACTTTTTCGATTGAAACATTTAATAAATCTAATATACCTTTCTCTGGAGGTGCAATGCGTGTAAAAGATATTGGCAGCCCTGTCTGATTTATGACGGGAGAGATTTAATACTCATCTCTTACGGAGATATGAAAAAAGAGAGAAGTACATTTTGGTAGGGAAGAGCAATAAACGTTTAAACTGTTGATAAGAATTTATACAACAAACATAAGAAGAAATACATAAATTATAAACATATTTGAGTGTACACTAACATTGAAAATAGGTTAATAACCCTTCCTTTGGTCGTTTTTATATATTCTAATAAAAGATTTTTCTACATTTTTCTTAAAAACCTTTTCTTATAAATACTTTGTCTTGCGTAAACATAAAGAATATTCGAAACTTTGAAATAATTTCTAATGCATACGTGCATATATCATAACACAAGTGCCCCCAATTTATGCAAATGCGGTTAGAAAATTAAACAAGAAAAGAAATTTATTCGAAAACGCTAGCGAATGTCTTTATTTGCATATACATGACGTGAAAGAAGTCAATGCACTCATCGTAGTGGGTAGACTTAGTTTGTTTTTTCGCTTTTTTTTCACTTGCATTTGTGAAAATTAAAGCTGTCAAGCCAAACAACATGTCACGAGACAAAGTTATGTATACGTGTGTATATATATAAGCACTCCGCACCGTCGCCTACATACTACTTGAGAACTATAATGCTCATGATGTTGATTGAGAAAAAATACTAAAAAAGAAAAAACATTTCCTTAACGGAAGTAATTTAATTAATTTGCAAAAATAAAAAAAGAAAGAAAAAAGAGTGTGAAAAGAAATAATAGAAAATTGGACATTGAACCAATACCGTAGGCAAGACAGTCATTGTTTTTGTAATAATAATTGCAAAAAAAAAGAGTATGAACAAATCACTTTTTACAATTCCCTTTTGTGGTGTTTCCATTTACCTCAGGATTATTTCTTTTCCTCATTGGCTTGAAATCTGTGCAACCAACAGCAATTCTTATTCAAGTCCCAATAAGTTATACGTAACAAGATAACAAAAAGTGCTTCTACAACCTACAGACGCAATGCTTCTTCTATTTTAGGGAGAGAAGCAAAGTTGGGAATAAACGTGATTTACAAGGAACAAAAATTTTATTTGGCCAGTGATTATTGAACTTCTAAACAATTTTAGTTTTCCCTACGCTTCTTGTTTCTATTAAAAATGTATATGAGTTAATTGACTTACATATTTATATCAATAATGTAATATTAGGAAGTCTGGGCTCCTATTTTAAAAATTTTTATGCTTTGTAGCACAATTGGTACAAGTGTATATTAAAGTTCTGCGGCAACAACCACAACGACTTGAGACAGACTCATCCTTTCTTACTATGCCAACTGATTCAAGACTTGCTCCAGTTGGCCGAACCAGTTTAAAATGTTCAAATACTATTACAGAGTGAGTTTTGTCCAGATATTTTGAAAAGTGCAAATTATATCCTTATAAGGAGTTTGCCTTTGATCAAAGCATTTCAGTCTACCAAACTTCATTTAAGGATGAACGCAAATTTTCATGGACAAATGTCAGGCAGGCAGAGATGCTTAGATCGGCACAATAAAAGATAGGTCCATCTTAAACCTTACAATCGCATATCTTATCAGAAAATAGCGATTTGAATAGAAAAATTGATTAATTGATTATGTTGTCTATATTTGAATCACATTTCACGTTTAACGTCACAAAAGATTGATTTTGACTCCTGGTCTTGATTTCGTGTTAACTATTTCGACTTCATATCTACGGATGTAGAGACCAGGATGGTCTCTAAACGAACTATGGTATTTGATTCGATCACTTGGAGGCAAATTTTTCGATGTTGAATCTCTTCCCAACGGGATAGCTTACGCTTTTATCTACTTTGTTTATTATATTTCCTTTTGGGTTCACAAACTCTCTCAGCTCTATGTTCAACGGGTGATTTCCGTTATGTTTATTCCAAACGAAAACGAAATTGAGATTTCCAAAAATAGTAATTTACCCTTGTATTCAAATATATAACTATGTTCTCTGTTTACAGTAGATAATTGAGGCAATGCTTACGATACTGCTGGAATGTTCGTAGAAATGAGATGTAAACCCGCTTAGGTATATAGGTGCAATGCAACTAAGATATGTTTTGCTGGCAATTAAAAAAAAAAACTTTTAATTATATTATTACAAACGAGTTGACTGCAATAACAACAATAATAGTAATGATATTATCACGTAATTTTTATATAAATTCATTCAAAATTGTTTTACACGGAAACTTAAGAGAAACCTTTAG